AAACTCCGTGCGTCGCCGACGGTCTCACACTATTTGCACGATTCTTAGATAACGCCCAATTGAAAAGGTATTTAAAAGATTACAAAACCCATGGAGCACTGCTGAAGATTACATTACGCAGGATCGCGTTCTGGATATTTGAAATAGTAGAATCGACGAACTATTCTTTACATATATTTAATACTCGATTATAGATGTGGAACCTTGAACTTTTCGACAGGAGATTAAAATACCCCGCAGCAAACCTGCAGACTAAGCAAATTTACATCTACCTGGGTGGAATTTCACTAAATTATTTCCATAAAATTGTCAGATCTTATTCCTATTTAAATATCATTAATTTTAGAGAGTACTTAGGTTTTACTTAGGTTTAGGTACTTAGGCTGCTACAGGGAAGACAATAAGGTGTGGTTTGTATTGAATAGCATACTATAAAGTAAAATAAAAATTCCAAATTTCATAAAAATATGTCCATAGACGCAACAACAATTTATGTATTCTCCATAAGAATAACAAGGTAATTTTAAATTTACACTTTATTGAATTTTTTTCCGTAACTGCTAGGCATACTTCAATATAAATTAATTGTTTTTTGAGCTCTACAAAATGGTTTGGAAAGAAATAGCAAAATGTTATTGATGCTATATTAACTATCAACACTTGTATTAGTTTTTGCCAATTCTCGCAATCTCTCTTTTTCAATATAACCTGGGAAAGTAAAACCAAAACAAACTTAATTCGTAAAAAATATTTATCATACTTATATCTTAAGGTTGAAACGTTACAGACGTATTAACAAATGATTACTTTTTTTTACCTTGACAAGCTAGTAGTGAATATGACGATCCTCAAGGGCTGATTTACACCTAGATGGAAGCTGTAACCTGGTAAACATCCAGTAAGATGAGAGCCGATACAGCGAGCGGTAATATTACATGTCGACAAGGCAATACTTATAACCCGAGGGAATCGGATGCTGTTTGTGCTAAGGCCTAGGATGGTTTCAATATTAACATATATCAGCACTCAGTAGTATGCCTACAGTTATCATAATACCTTTGCAAGAAGTTAAGTACAGATACAGGTACAAGCTAATTTGAAGGTTTTTTTAACTGAATCACATTCACATCCTAGGAGGCCAGGTGCTAGCCCGAAATCGTTTTACACATTACGTCAGCCAAAAGTCGTGGCATTATCACTCAGAAAAATATTTGGCGGTTGGCGGGATTTGAACCCAGGACCTACTACGCACGACCACTAAACCAACTAGTTTTTCCACAATTTTAAGGTTAGTTCCATCTGTTTAATGGGAGCTTTATGTTGATCCCTATTTGTTTCTTGTCAAGTTTACCTGTTTACGAACTATTAACTCAAATCAAGCGATCAATTTATTAACAATTGCTTGTCCTATGGTTTTATAACGAAAGAGCACAATTCGTTTGATCTAACCTAACAAAATTAAACAATAATAAACAAATGTTCTTAAAATTAATGCAATCAAACGCCACACCGCTGTCTGCGCCGTACGTATTTTCGTAACGTTGCGCTGCTATATAGACGTTTCAGATCATACAATACGTCTAGCTAGGTCTACTTGCTTAATTCGAATTTAACGGGTTAAGTTACTTGTTCTTTGTTCTACATTGTTCACCAAACTGTTACGTGCTGCGAAAAGTAGTAGAGTTGGTCACTGGTTTTGAATAATAACTCACAAATTAAATCAAAAAGAATTTAAATAAACTTGACGTTTTAAAATAAAGCTATACTGTACTAACTTGCATTTCGCAGCACTAAACAAATTGGGATGTACAACAATTAATTAACTAATCATTTAAGATAACTGTGTTGTTCGGTTTTGGCAGCAACGCAAATTGTACCTTTCAGGACCAACGATTCAGAGACAACTCCATTTTACAACAACTCCATCTACATGACCCAAAAAAAAAACAAAAAAAAACATTGAATTGTAATAATATTTCTAATTGGATCTTAAGCCTCCAAAGACTTTGGAACTCCCAAAGAACTTTAAGTGAGGACAGTCGGACAGTTTAGCACGAGAAATTTCGTTTCATCTTTGATCTTAACGATCGTGTTAATCACTACTATACTAAATTTAATACGTACAAAGGCAATACACGTACCTAGAAAATGCTGATTATTTTAATTAAGACCTTAAGTTTTTTAGTTAACAATTGCCGATATTTATAACATTTAGTTACTTCTTAAAATAATTATTGTAACAAATCAATTTGTGAGGAAAGTTACTAAAATCTTCAATTTTTACAAGATTACGACTTGGTAGCTTAACCACAAAACCAGAATCATTGAGGCACCACGTCAAATCCATCCGGTATAATAATTTTTCAAATAGCTACAAACCCATCGGTTCTGAACATACAAGCCAACAATCAACAAATAAAAAACTAGAAAAAAAATCCCACCCTGAATACGTCCAAAATTATTCGCATCGTTTCGTTCCATCTACAGAAGCAACAGTAACGTAAACCGGCGATACAACAAAACAACAGGTATTGAAAGTGGAGTTGCCGATATAAACAGTGAGGGAGTGAGAGGGAGGGATTCTGCGAGAGAGAGAGAGAGAGAGAGAGAGATGTGGAGTGTGACGTCACCATATCGACCGTGGCACCGCCTGCAGTTGCACCTGTTTAGATGGAAAACTCTGGGAAAATCAAGTAAAAACTGGACTTGAAATAATGTCAATTAGCCTTGGCCAAGCAATTACTCGTATCTTAAGTAAAACGAGGGGAACCATTCGAAAATTGCGCATTTGTTTACAGTATTAACAGGGTTAGATTCCGACGCATAACGAATAATTCAATAGGTACACCTTTTAATTAATATATATATATATATATATATATATCTAATATATAAAATTCTCGTGTCACAGTGTTTGTCTGCAAACTCCTCCGGAACGACTTCACCGATCGTTATGAAATTTGGTGTGTAAATTCTGTAGGTATGCGAATCGGACGTAAACTATTTCCCGTTTCGAAATTCTTAAAAGGGCTCCGCCCCAGTGGCTCTGGAGTTTCCCATGTTAACCTTATGAGAAATGGAATTAATGAATCTTAACAGCTGTTTCAATTAAACAAGTTGGTTCTGTTCTGTGAAGGTGAATGAGCGTAGCGAACGAACTTCAACCTGGAGGCGAGTGAGCGTAGCGAACGAGCTAACCTGAAGGCAAGTGAGCGCAGCGAACGAGCTCATGATTTAGCTCCAACCTAAAGCTCAATCGGGCTTTAGGTTGGAGCGAACGAGCTCCAACCTAAAGGTGAGTGAGCGTAGCGAACGAGCTCCAACCCAAAGGTGAGTGAGCGTAGCGAACGAACTTCAACCAGGACGTGATTGAGCGATGCGAACGAGATCATCTTGAAAATTAAACGTAACGGTACTTTCTTTCCATCGGTCTGTCTTAGGGGAAACCTATAACTTAGGCGATACGAAGTTCGCCGGGGCAGCTAGTATATATATATATATATATATATATATATATTTGCTTGAGACAGTTATTACGTGAATAAGACTAATTTACAATTAAATTATATTTTTTGATATCACTATGTAGTACAGGTTATGGTTAAGAAAGTAGACTATTAATCCATTTTTGGAAACACTTTTTTCGCATGTTTTTTTATTTGGCTGTGGTTAAACATTCAACTAAAAGATCAGTATTCTTTTTCAAATTCACATTTAAATCGTTATAAGGGAAGTTGGTCAGCATTAATGCGTCTTTGGAAGAAAACTAAAACCAACGCTAGAGGGTGAAGCCCTAAAGGAAATGGTCTTTTTTAGTTACCATTCTTCACTCCACTAGATCTTAAGCTACACAACTAGTCGAGGTAGCACTTGTAATACTCGTGAAGAACAATCGTTCACATGACTTGAGATTCTTCTTCTCAGTCACATGTCTTCAGTTTTCACCAATCAAAAAGGTGAATTTAAAAAAATCTTGAAATTTGACAATATAGTCTAATATAAATATTCAATCAAAAATATAAATGTGACCTACCACTGGAGTGCATCGTAAGGTACCCAAGAGCTAAAACGATTAGAAAACGTCTACGAGCGAAATGGCTCCCGATGATCGGGCCTCCCCCCCTACTTTAAGGTAGATGATCAAACCACAAGAGGCTTTAGGAAAAATCTACTTTCAGTCTACTAAGATATGCTAATCTCACTGAATCTCCGCGTAGCAATCCGCTTACATTGAGCAAAACTGTCTTGTTTCAAAAGGCAGTTTACGTTTGGACGGTCATGAACATGTTAAGAAAGCGCTGACTGTCGTAAGCAACTTGAACCACTTACACATGTAAAAACAGTGGAAAACATGTTCATCCAACGAAACTGATAATAAAACCATCCACCTAGTCAAGAAGTGACCCAAAAGGAGGTGTAGAGTGCGTGAGCAGGTAACTAAGCGATTCCTTCAGAAACCTATTCAGGGGGCTTAGGGTGTTCACATTCTGACTCCTAGGTGGTTGGTGGAGTGGAAGGGGGGGGGAGGTCAAAATTTTGGGGTGTTCACTTATATCTTGAAAATGATGCATTGGAAAGAAATATTTTTAAATAATATGTTTTATATTCCTAACCGTTTTCGAGCTATACCCTCGAAAAAAAGTAGAAAAAAGTTAATTTACCTCAAAATATTCATAAAACTTTCATTATATTTGTCTAAAACTATTCATAAATCTAGTCAAGGAATATACACATGCAGAAAGCTCTAGTGATTGGGATTCACACCTGAACTGTGTCAAAAAATGATAACATCAATAATACATCTGGACACTTCCCCTACGCAAAGACCTGCCAGTTGTATGTTCAAGATATGGAAAATCTACCATCAAAAATGACTCCTGAAGAATATCACAAATTGCAACCAGCGGGTATTTTACTATGCGACGCTCTGGTCACTTTTGGTCAGGCGTAAGGTCAGAGATGACAATTGAAATCACGTTGATGCGATCATTCAAAAGCCAATGAGGCATCACACAACGTACTCAGCAAAAGGTTAGTTGGTATGAGTGCAACTCATTGCACTTCGCTTGAAGAGTTTTCCGGGGTCATATTCACTTCAAGTAAACAACACAAGGACATTGGACAGGCTCGCATGAGTAAAGATGCAGAAGACATTGTTAAACTCAATCAGTGGCAGACGAAGCAATATTTACGAGGGGAGTGGTAGTGGAAGACGAGGTGAGAGACGAAGTGGAAGAAGAAGTGGTGGAAGACGAGGTGAGAGACGAAGTGGAAGACAAGGTGGAAGAAGTAAAAGAAGAAGTGGAAGAAAAGGTTGAAGACGAAGTAGAAGACAAGGTGGAAGACGAGGTGGAAGAAGAAGTGGAAGACGAGGTGGTGGTGGAAGACGAGGTGGATATGGTGGTGGAAGACGAGGTGGATATGGTGGTGGAGGAAGATGTAGAGGTGAAAGTAGAGTTAGTTGCGGAAGACGATGTGGAGGTGGTGGTGGAAGACGAGGTGGAGGTGGTGGTGGAGGAAGATGTAGAGGTGAAAGTAGAGTAAGTTGTGGAAGACGAAGCGGAGGTGGTGGTGGAAGACGAGGTGGAGATGGTGGTGGAGGAAGATGTAGAGGTGAAAGTAGAGTAAGTTGTGGAAGACGAAGTGGAGGTGGTGGTGGAAGACGAGGTGGAGGAGTCCGTATTTTAGTTGTATTCCTCCACACAGTTGCACGGTAGCATGGAATTGGATATCCGCAAAACTAGTGTACTATACTTGCAGAAGAACTGATTCTTCAAACAAGATGATCTGCCAAGCCAACTAGAGGAGACATATGTTTGACGGTTGACATCAGCTTCAGGTTGACGGCTATTGTGTGTTATCAGTTACAATAGCGTATGTCGCCTCGTCACAGACCACAATGCGTTTCCTTGAACTTGTGACAACACAACACATGACAATATCAACTCGGTAGACGAGAGAGTGTTTAGTGTTATCTAATTATTAAACCAAAAGCCTGCAGTTTATGATATAAGAAGTACGTTTTTACCAACTACCTGAAAAAGATTTTAGCCAACTGTTTTAGTTAGAGAACTGCAGTTAAAAGTAGAAGCCGATGTAACGATGATTTTACGGCATTGAATATTTTACTTAAATAAGAATATTTCAAAGTAACAAAGTTTAAATAGTTATAAATACGCGTTCAAAGAACTCACGTTTAGTGTTCATATTGTTCCACGTTCATGTCGTTATTTCTCATATGTCTCCTGTGTTTTAAGGTTTACTTGTATGGTTTTCAGATGGATCACTTTTAAAGGAAATTTTGTTTATATTTAATTGTAACCGTATGCTTTTATACGCCAGTTAAGTTGTTTTGTTTCTTATCATATCTCAACTTCCATGAAACTTACTATAACATTATTTTTGTAGAACACGTTGTTGAGTTAAACACGTATTACATTTAAGTACTAAATACAGGGTGTCCCGGAACTCTATACCAATATTTTAGGGCATTGCTCCTGGGTAAGAAACATACCTAAATATCATATTTAAATTGTCCGGAAGTCCTTAGTTACTCACACAGCCGCCATTTTGTTTTTTTCAGTTATTAATTTTTTTATAAAGAATGGTTTCACGTGGGACGTAAAATGAAAACTTTGCACAAATATCAATGACAACTAGACAAAGCTACAAAAAAATTATGAAGATTTTTCAAATTCATAAAACAAAATGGCAAACATTTAAAATTTTGTTTCTTAAATAGCTCAAAAACCGTTGATTTTATAAAAATTTTAAATGGCCGCCATTTTGTTTTATGAATTTTAAAAATCGTCATAATTTTTTTGTAGCTTTGTCTAGTTGTCATTAATGTTTGTGCAAAGTTTCCATTTCGTATGTTTAACCATTCTTTAGAAAAAAATTAATAACTGAAAAAAACAAAATGGCGTCTGTGTGAGTAACTAAGGACTTCCGGACAATTTAAATATGATATTTAGGTACGTTTCTTACCCAGGAGCAATGCCCTAAAATATTGGTAGAGAGTTCCGGGACACCCTGTATGTTTCTTGAGGGACTATAACGGACATTTTCCACCACGATAGTAATGGAAACCGATTACTGCAGAAGTTGAAACGGGAATAATATAACAATACAATGTTGTATTGGTTTACTAATAGATTAGATGTGATACCCTTATGTACCACATCACCACAATAAAATTTGTTCATGATGTTTCGAGGCTGGAATCCTATATTGTCCTCAGGTGAAAAAGTACCGAAAAAAACAACTCTAATGCAAAAACCTAGCAAAAAACAACTGAAATTGAGTTAGTAATTGAACCGTGGCTGGTAAATCGGTTAATTGTGTTTATGAATGACGGAACCTCGGGATGAGGTCAAGGATTTGATGAGCAAAACCAGTTCTTTTGGTCGCATCACCTATACGTCATATCTATATATAGCGACAATACGTCGTGTCAAAGAATAAAGAAACAGGATCCATGCATTTATTATTTAAACATCTAGTGGTTTATCTACGGTTTATTCTATAATATCTTACTCTTTATAGAATTACTATTTATTAGCGGAGACTAGCGTCTTGGACGAGTTAAATTGGTACAATTTTTTACAGCTGTAGTACTGCAACTGGTTTCATAAACAAAATTTATTTAAGTAACAATAATAAGTGAGGAAATTATTTCGATCTATGACGATAAACCTTCCTACAGTAAACAGTGCCTGGCGAGCATGTTTTTGACAACTTGTGATTTACACGAACTCGTAATTAACATTGTTCAAGTCAAGTCGCCAGAGCTAAAGGACGCGGAATAGATGTTTGTTTTAAAACAACAGTGCCTAATTTAACGTTAGTTTGGACCAGGAATCTTTAAATGGGGTGAATCTAATCACCTCAGTTATACTACTTGGCTGAAAAATGTTCAAATTTTGTGCTCAAAGTTCAATAGACCCTTTGCTGTCCTCGTGACTAGGAATCTTGTCCAATTCGTGTCCGTCATTGATAAATGGTGTAGTTTATTCAGACAAAATCTGAAGGTTGTGACATTCGCGTTTGAACAAAGGTCATTAACTGGTTATCTAACGTTCACAGATGTACTATAACTGGCGCGCTGGCATTTCCAAGGAATTATACAGAACAATGAACCATCTAACATACCTCTTTTCACTGGACTATAAATAATAAAAGCCAAAATTAGTTTTAAAAATCATGAGTTTCTTTTTTACTGCTTTTACAATCGAAACAAACTATACAGAGCCATGGGTCGGCCCCCCCGGCACTATTACTTTATCAAAGGAATCGATTCCAAAATAGATACTATACCTGTATTGCAGCTTACTACAGCACAAAGGAAGGACTTTTTACTTTATAAAACGTAAAGTTATACAGGACGAGCGCAAGTTTTAATGACATGTGCGTCCAAAGGGTACAAAGTACATTCTCGCGACATACGGGGTGAAGCTATGTTTATGTAATGAGCACTAGAGGTAAATACTTTGCTGTCAAAGACATTCCCCGCTTCTGTCTCCTATCTTCTACCACGACCTGCCTCTAAACCTCAGGCTGATCACATACTGCATTACTTAAACAGATATACCTGAGTATACCAGGTGTACAATGCTGTCTGCTTGCAATATTGAGCGGAGCATATTAATCCAATACTTCAATGTCAATGCTACATCTGGTTATCGTAAATAGGATGTATAGTACTTGCAGTATCAAAAGTCAATGCTAAATTTAGTTCACGTAAACTATGTCTCCTTACAGTATCCAAGTCAATAGTACGTCTGTTTCTCGTAAATGGAACGTCTACTTGCAGTGGCTATTTTATTTACTGACATTTTAAAGAAAAATTCTAATTGATGCACGGTAGATACGAAGTTTGACAGTTTTGCTACTTGAGTAACATAAACTGGAAGCCGTCACTTGATTAAATGCAAAAATAGATTTATAAAAATAGTTAAAAACAGAAAAGGATTATCCCCGTCTCCATCAAGAAAATCAATACACAAAAATTCTACAAGATTAAATACTCAAGCAGTGCAATTCTAATGATTGTTACAGACATCATCTGATACCGGTAATTTTATGCGGAGCGGCGCGGGGCTCATTTAATTAAATCCAACCACTAAATACAATTTTCCCCTTGATAAGGCGTCCATACGCAAGACTCCAAAAGTGTAAAATTTTATTCACAAAGGATAGCACGAACGGTGACTATCTTACAAGTTACCTGTTGGTTTCATTGAGAATAACGATGCGAATACGTGTTTTAAAACGTTACAAATACAGTGTAAGATAACTTAGTGATAAATTTAATTGTTTGGTAAAATAGTGTAAGCCAATTAAGAACGTTTGAATACATAAAATATAAACTGAAATAAAAATTAGAAAACATTTAATCGACAACATCTCCTTCACATGCATTTATATAAAACACACACATACAAGATCCAAATTTCACAATAGAATTAAGAATTTACTTTTAGTAGTATCCACAGTTTATGGTATCTATAAGTATAAAAGAGGATGTTTGTATATTTGTTTGGCAGTGATAAACTCAGACACCGCTGAACCGATTGCCACGAAACTTGGTACTGTACATACGTGTAGAATGTCATGGAATAGGTTTATACACCATCAATTTCGTGATCCGTCCAATCGGCTCCGCCCCAGTGGCTCTGGAGTTTCCCATGTTAACCTTATGAGAAATGGAATTAATGAATCTTAACAGCTGTTTCAAATAAACAAGTTGGTTCTGTTCTATGATGTTCAATAGCATTAAAGTTACAAGGATTACCAACAGGGTGCAGCACTATTATTTCTTTTACATTTATGACAACAGCTAATTTGCAACCAAAAGGTGAGTGAGCGTAGCGAACGAACTTCAACCTGGAGGCGAGTTAGCGTAGCGAACGAGCTAACCTGAAGGCAAGTGAGCGCAGCGAACGAGCTCCAACCTAAAGGTGAGTGAGCGTAGCGAACGAACTTCAACCAGGACGTGATTGAGCGATGCGAACGAGATCATCTTGAAAATTAAGAAGTTAAACGGGCCAAAGCCCGCGGGTTACAGCTAGTTATGTTACAAAAATGAAAATTCCCAAGCTGTACGAAACATCCGTGTGACAATTAGAACAATCTGACACAATTCCCCGAATGTTTGGTGTTTTTCCTCCTGGACATGTACTGCACATAATCAACGCTGAGTTTAAATTCTTGTTTGCATTATTTCCCAGTTGAATATCTTAACTATGTAAACTGCCACAGGTGTGCCTGTAGAATAACCCGGTCTTACATACTCTAGCAGTCACTCCGCGGCGCGAAATGTCAATTAAACACTCGTGCTTTACGGATCATACGAGCTTGGCTTGCAAACCTTTACAAAAACAATATTTTTGACGTTGTCATACATTGTAAATGTGTTGCAACAGAAAATGATTTGACTTTGACTTTAGTCGTGCTTTGCAATCTAGGATTATCCAAGACAAAAAAATATAATGCTACCCAGTATTTAACGAATTATCACTAAACAAAAGCTGCTATACCCGTGC